TACAGTGAGTTCATGGGTCTAGTCGAGAATAAAAAATGAACAGTTTTTTGGTCATTTTTGGTTATTTCATGTCAAAGTACAATGTTATTAATAGAAAAAAAAAACTGTCTCTTGTCATAATCACATTCTAGAATCTAAATCAGTCTAAATATAGTGACCTCCAAGTCCTAAAAACAAGTTGAACACAAAATGGTAAAAAGGAATTTGATTATTTTATTGTAGTATTGTCAAAAACATACAGATGTAACTTTAAAAAAAAAAATCTGTAACCAGTGATTCAGTAATTCAAATATGATTATAGATTAAACCTGTGTGAAACTGTATATTATTTTACTTTTTATTCAACAAGGAGAACTGCATTTAATTTCCTCATTCACTTCTTTGCATAACATGTCATTTAGCCAGTCACAGTCAATTGTTTATTTAAGGATTTAACAAAATTGAGGAAATAACAAAAACATGAGTGAAGTATAGCTGATGTTTGTAATGAGTCAAATGTTAAAGGTACACTGTGTAACTTGTGGGGGTCCATCACCTGCTTCCCTCCATGGACGTGTATTGCTTTGTTTAGAATGTTCAACTTATCACTAATGCATTTATTATTTTACAAAATAAAAGGAAAAAACCTGAAAAAGAATGAGCTCACCTCTCCACAGATCTGACCTTATCTCTGTATAGTAGGGGTGTAACAATACGATATTGTCACCGGTATGAACCTCACGATATTTATTGCGATATCGTTGGAAAGTTCACAATTAGGGATGTAACAAAATCCAAATTTCTCGGTACGATATTTTCATGATATACATCTCGCGGTACGATATTTATTGCAATATTTTGTGGAGGCTAACAAAACTGTGAATATGCTATTTTTTCCTCTTAAAATGCCTTGACAAGACTTACTCCAAAAAACTAAGAGTTAAAAGTGCTCAAAACTGTTATTTCTTCTTGTAGTCTACACTGAATTGGAGCAAAGGATCATGGTCTATGTAGTTCCCTCTGTCTTTTTTAAGCTATTGCTGCACCATAACTCTTCATTTAAGCAAAGAGACTTGTGATTCGATATATTGTGATGGTTCACGATATTATTGTGAGAATTTTGACGATATGATATCACGATATTTCAGTTATTTCAGTTACATCCCTAGTGTACACAGCAATCACATTTCCATGACCTCAACCCAAAACATTATATATTTAACTTTACATTTTGAACTTTCCAGATATCAGAGGCACACATTTTATGATTTTGTATCAGCAGGGCTTATGTGTCACCGTTTCACCTTGCACATGGGAATGTTTTCTCCATTTTTAGGTAGGAGGATTCCCAGAAGACATATTTGACTTATTTACAGCTTTATCCTAAGCCAAGTTCAGGAGAGAAACGCCGGGCTAACTTAAAACTGTCAGGGATGACACAACACATGCCTTCTACAGACAGGACGCAGCATGAGGGGTCAAAGTTCACATGTGTTAAAGTGAGCAGTGCACTTCTGAACTCCCATGGATCACGACACGGACTCTGAAAACTTCTGTTGAGCTGTATCAGGAGCTGTACCATAAATATGTTTTAATGCACTGACCTTTATTTAATGTTAAAAGCAACAAGATGAAAAACTGTTCTCGAAATTTTTTCCTATGAGAGTTTTTCGGAACACTGTGTAACTACGTAATTTTTCCATCGGAGGAGGAAGGGTCACTTTCCTGTCACCATGGAGATACAAAACTTCAATGATTTACTGTGGGATATTGCAGGCAAGACAAGGAGCTGGCACAGTTGACCTAGTTACAAGCTTGATCTGTGGAAAGTCAAGCCTGACTGTAAAAAAGCAACAAAAAAATAAATAAAAATTGACAAATAACTTAAATGCCATAGTGTGGAACATTACAGGTAAGGCACGTAGTCGGCACAGTTGGTCAAGTTACAGGTCTGAACTGTGGAAAGCAACAAAAATGTCATGAATAAATAGAAAATGCCATACTGTGGAGCATTCTAAGCAAGAGTTACATCTCCGTGGAAACAAGCAAGTGACGGACCCTCCCCTAGAAAAGTTACATGGTGTCATTTTATGAATTGTTTTTACTTTTTCCTCCATAAAATGCTTACAGTGCTGGTCTGTCTAAACTCCTCGACCTCCTTTTGTGGAATATTTTCAAGAATTTCTTCCCTGCTGATCGTGCTTGTGCCATCATCAGGTTTAAGAATGATGGTGAAAATGTTGAACCGTTACCATAGCAATAAACAATATAAAACAGAAGCCAGTTGGACACTCACCGCCATATGGGTCTCAGCTGACCAGCGCGGCTCCCGGTACGCTTTGTACAATCGCAGAAATCAAAGCGGCCATTTTAGACAATTTATAAGGAATAAATTATGGTCTGGTCTGGAAGAAAGTGAAATCCTCCTTTTCTATTCATTTATACATGAATTATAGATCCATTAGGGAGCAGAGCTGGGGGAATCCGGCTAACAACAGCAATAACGCACTGATTTAGACATACATTACCCGTGTCTGGGGTGGAGTTTGGATTCAATATTCAATTTACACACAATCTCCCATCAGACAATCCTCATTGAAAAACTACCATTGTCCAAAGACTCTCTAAACAGATTTACAGGAACAAATAATAAAGTGAAAGGGGAACTGTGTAACATTTCTGGTGGATGCGCTGCTTGTCTCCATGGAGATGTTACTGCTTTGCCTGTAAGAATCCGCAAAATCGTTGCACTGGCTTCCTGTTAGGTTTAGAATTGATTTTAAGATTTTATTATTTGTTTTTAAAGCTTTGAATGGACTGGCCCCACAGTATGACTCGGACCTCATCCAGATTTACATCCCCGCACGTGCGCTGAGGTGCCTAAGATGAGACTTAAAACTAGGGGGGACAGGGTTTCTCTGTGGCTGACCCCAAACTCTGGAACGTTCTGCCCCCCCATGTCCGAACAGCTCCCACAGTAAAGTGTTTTAAGTCTTGTCTTAAAACCCACTTTTATTCTCTGGCTCTTTACCTCCGTGTGAGTTGTGAGGTCCTCTGTGTCTTTTCTTTATTTATTATTTATATATCTATTGTTTTAGCTCTGTTTTTATATATTGATTTTATTATTTTTGTTCACTGATTTTATTGTTATGTTATTTATTGATTCTATTGGTTTCCTCATGGTTGAAACATAATTCTGCTTTTTTTTTTTAAGTAAAATGTTAGACCTGTCCTGTTTATAAAATGTGCTATACAAATAAAGTTGGATTGGACTGGACAAAATAACAATAAAATAAATTTATTCATTATATTGCATGTTTTTTTTGTTTTTTTTTTCCCTTATAAAAAATGCATTCATACTGTGAGTGGGGGTCTCCTCTCCACAGATCCGACCTAGATCTGACACTGGCCTTGTGGCTTCACCTGCTTGTCTCCATGGAGATAGATTTAATGTCATACTCCTCCAGAAAAGTTACACATCGCACCTTTAAACAGACTCATCCTAAAGCTTTACTAGCTTTTTGCTTGTATATGACCTTGACTTGGAATCCTACACAAACTCTATAAAAATGTACTCAGAACTTAGTCAAAAAAATGTCTCAAAACTGTAACTTCTAAGAAATAAGTAAGCAAGAAGTAAGTTCTGGACTGTTTCACCAGAGGGAATCAGTTATAGTTATATCTGGTTAATATTTCATTCCTGAATCTTCATTGTTGCCATCTGAAGTCTTACTACAGTTTTATAAGTTGACATTAAAATTACAATCGCCGGGCTATATAAATAAAACAAGGTTGACAAGTTACAGTTGCATCATAACTTGTAAACTTTTTATTCACCCTTTGCACAAAGAAATCCACAATAAAACTGCTGTTCATTGCGTTGGTCAAATGTGACACAACATCAGCCCATTTCAAATCACCCACGCCCACCAGTCTTGGCCATTTCCAAGTTAACAGTCCGATTCCATCAATATCAGGTCAATGCTTCCTTGAACGCAGCCCCTGTCTCTTCAGATGTAGTGGGTTTGACTGCATCTGAGCACATCTCCGCGGGACTGTCCGTGGAGACGTGGGCCGGGGTGGAGGGCCAAGAACTCCATTGAGCGCAGCTATGGGGGGTCAATATGTGAATGAACGTTTGCCATGGAGGTGAATTATGAATGAGCCAGCACTCTGCCTGCCTCTCCCGCTCCTTGGTCTCCTTTACTACTTCCTAACCCCCTTTTCCTCCTCCCATCTCGTGAATCCATCTCCTACATCTCCATCTGATCACTTCTTCTTTCTTTCGTTCTTTCTTTCTCCCTCCCCTCTTCTCTCTCTCTCTCTCCCACCCCTCACCGTCTCGTCTCGGGAGGTATAGACGCACTACACATTGGCGTTGGCTGTCTGAGAACACGACCTAACATTCTTTCCGCTGTACATACATATTTACCCAGTCTCCTCTCCGTGCTTTGGTGAATCCTGGCGCGCGTAAAGTACATAGATATAAGGCAAACAGTACTGCACGTGCGCTGACAGTCTCCCAGCTGTTCCGAGGGGGGCACTGGGCTGTGTAATCCAATGTGCCACGCTCTCTCCCTCCGCTCGCTCTCTGTTGCTGTGCGTCTCGTCTGATCTGCCTGCCCTCGCTTCCCTCGCAACCTGTTAAAAGAACTCTTGCGTTTGGAAATTCCCGACAAGATTTACGCGTGTCTTTTCTCTTCACCACCACCGAGCAAAACAACTTCACCGGAGTGTGCGTGTCAACTTCTTGTACAACCATTCACAATTTCCACCTCCTCTGGAACCCTTCACTCCAGTTAAAGCAGCGGTCACTTGCGCTCACTTTGCCCCCCTTCAGCAACAGTATAGAACAAGCCACGGATTCACACGGCGGAACATGTGGACACAGAAGGTACAGTATAGGCTATAGGCGTTTGTGCACACTTGTACCACACGTAAACCGAGCGCCAGGACGCACACAGACTCTCTTTTAAGACACATACACAAGCGTGCATTCAACCCAAAACCAATAAAGTCACCTTAGAATATCTTCCAGACGAGCCCCTTCTCTCTGACTTCTCTCGCCTCCTTCGGCCCGTGGTTTCCGTCCTAACCGCTCCGTATAACGTCCTCTGTCGCTTCTTCTCTCTTCAGTCTCGTCGCACGATCACTTCCCAGCGATTTCCCGGAGCCCCTCCATATCCAACCCCGCCAGTCGTTTCTAGCAGCAACCGAGGCGAGCGCCGAGCCTACGTACCTCCACGCATATACGCACACGCACGCGCGCACGAACACAGACACGAGCCTCTCCGCCGCGGCTGCGTTCCTATGGTCTCCCTCTCTCCCCGCTCTGTTTATGGCTCGGTCGGTGCTCGCTCGCTCTCCGCTCTCGTGTCGGGGAAGAGCTACGGCGTGCGCGAGGGAGTGCGCGTGCGTGTGTGAGTTTGTGTGAGCGTGCGTGTGCGTGTGCGCGCGGTGCGCCTTGCCCCGCCAGCAGCAGAGGACTTCCCCCGGCGCGCGCCCTGGGTCCTAACGTCGGCCCCTTTTCACTGAAAGAATGCCGCTGTGTACAGAAGGCGCACGCAGAGATCGTTTAGGCTCAAGAGATTCTACAAACTGTCAGGAAACTATTAGAAAACTCTCATTATTTTCACTCTACAGACACGAGCTGAGAAGAGGCTCTAGTCTAGAAAGAGCAGATGGACAACAACGCAATGATGTTATCGGCTAGGAGTGTAAAAAAAAAAAAAAAAATCGATTCAGTGATATATCGTGATACTTCATTACCTGATTCTTGTATGATTAAAAATGCGTCTGCAGATGAAAAAAAAACAACAACCTAATAATTAAATAAATAGTTTTTTTTTCTCTTTTTTGTTTTTCTCATGGAGGTGCACTTGACCTAGCCTGATTCATCAGCCGGTTTTACTTCGTTTCACGTCATACAAACAGTCTGACCTCGCTGCCTTACATTTCGTTTGATATGACTCTTCGCTGATTGGCTTGTGCCCGATCTTGCACTTTCAGGGTTTTTGCGAACCATCTAGTGTATTTTGATTCTTGACCTAGTTGCTGGTGAGAAATGAAATTGAGCGGAGGCACTAGGTGGCGCCAGCCTGGCTACACTTGACCATAATATTACACGTAATTATTGATAAATCACAATATGTGATCTTTTGTTTTTGTATTGAGATGTATACATTGACTTGAGACGGGCATATCGTGATGTGTATTGTATCTCCAGATTCATGGCGTGCACCCTACTATCGACCCTTGTAGAAAGGTCATCCAATAAAAAGAAAAAGGGCATTTTTTGTTGTACCAAACATGAATTGGTAAATCGCTGTATTCTATTAACTGGTCATTGCCTTGGGCGGACCATGCCTGGACTTTCATTGTAAAAATTCTCATCATAGAAAATAATTCCATTTGAATACTGCTCTGGAGACTGCATGGGTTTTGTGGTAACTGCCTTCTGCCAGCAAATTATGTATTTTTAGATTTGGCTCGTGAAAGAAAATAATTAGGTAGAATTTGCCCACACACAATATTTTCCTGTTTTTCTAAATCTATTTTCACGCTGATTTGCATTTTAGCAGCAGACCTCAGTAATGTTCTAATTTTGTTGAATCCTTTTAAGTCTAGGATGCAGTGTTTTTTTTTTTTCCACACACATGCACAAAATGGCCAATCCTCAAACTAGTTACTCCCGACCAAGATCTCTAGTCACGCACTCTCCTGACAGGTCGCTCCTATGGCATTGAAGGATGGGTCAAATGCACAGTCTGTATTCATGCACGCGCTGGTGAGTGTCTGCTACAAACTGCAAGCATTAAAAAACTATAAAGACGCCGTTTTCTCCATAAAATCCCACATATTTATTGCAACGGCGTACAGCTCTGATGCACGGTGCTCCCATTGCATGCTTAAACTGATTGATGGCATCTGCAGGGCTAACAGTCCCTCACTAACTGAATCTCTTATTAAAAAAATAACCTAGACACAACCAGCACCAGCACTAGTCTAATCATCTCATTGAGACCAGTTAACATCCTCCAGGCTTCAATGTCTTCCCTTCCTTTTTTCCCCTCCTCAGCAACTTGTTTTGTACCCAAGTGGTTACTATGGCAACAGCAGCGGGGCAGAGCCAGAGCCATGCAAAGAGACATTACATTACATGCAGTACAGAAGCAGGGGACATTTTACTTTAGTGTCATTAAACCTGCTCCCTCTGACCTGCGCGCGCACGTCGTAAATCACGGTTTTATGTATCAGTGGAGGGCACAGTCTACTACTGGGAGCTACAGTATTTTTGACAGTTTTTTGGCCAATTGGAAATGTATTTATAAGAAGTAGGCTGCTTGTTATGCCCAATACATGCTCACATGTTTCAGTAGTGATAATACGGCTTTAAACCAACGTATTATTTTTGTATACCTTTGTTTTTGCTTTGTTTTTATTCTTATTGTGTAGTTTTTAGTTTTTGTGTGGGATGAGTGGAGAGACGGTGAGAAAGAGTTGCGTGTTTTTTTTTTGTCATTTTAAAAGAAAAAAAAAAAAAAAGATATAAACCAGCATATTATAGATGTGTTTTTTACTTAGTTTATGGTTAATATCTCTGTCTGTCCACATGAAACAAAAACTGGAATGAAGTCTAAAGTCTAATCTGACGGTACAAAAGTGAAATGTATTTTTTGTATCATATCAAAATGGTTTTAAGTTTGCAGAACCAAAAATTTGAAAGCTAAATATCTGCAAATTTTACTTCAAAATAATATGAATTGTGCATTGAAAATCTGTGCAGCTATTGAATGTAGTAGTCAATCTATCAGCATCAGTTTGGTTGGTAAATTATTTGATTTTCTACTATGAATTGTGTTATTTATCTAGTTTGTTCAATAAAGTAACACATAAGCAAATGTGGCAATAATATTTTCGTGTTTTGCCAGTTTAAAATTTTTTATTTTTGGAAATCATAATGAAACTGCCTTGTCAATAATGCCTAGTGTTTTTTTGTCAAATTAAAGATGACTTCAGAGTGGTTAAAATGCATTGCTGCAGAGTGAGCTTCGTGTTTGTGCGTAGACAATCTCGGGTGCAGCTCCTGTCTTCCTCATATGGCCACCCCTCCCGCGCTCTCCCGGTTCTCCCTCAGAGCGTCATCAGGTTACCCATAGCAACGGCCCGCCTATGGGAGACAGCCATCCGATCATTATGGCTCTGGGTCTGTGAAAGTGAAGGACAGGAGGCAAGCTTTTCAGGAGGCCACAGAGGGTCCAGTCCAACAAGAAACTGGCAACTTTTGAAAGATAGATAAAGGACATAAGGGCGAACAGAAACAGGATTGTACCAGCTTTATAATTTATTTTATATATATTTTAAACTGACATGTGGCCTATATATTGAACAAGAACCATTCCATTACCTTGTTAGATAGTATCCATTAAGGTAGACATGACTTATTGACTGAAATATATAAATTATAACTTCTATTTGGCAAGGATCAATAAAGTATATTCTTACCTGTTTTGTTTCATTCACACATGTTTAATGCACAAACCCTGCATATTTATAGGCTGAGGTCTTCTCTCAAATGGAAAACACTCTGTTCCACCTTGTGATGTCATGTGGTACATGAAGTGCTCCACTGTGTTTTTAAACTCCACACATCTTCAGTCGAATCATTTGGATAATTTCAGCAATTTATTTCCTAAAAGGCACAAGAGTAAATTTTGCGTAACATAAGACCTTTAAGTTAAATTTGACATTTTTAATACAATAGAATAGGGATGTACCAATAACCGAAATATCATGATATCGTATCGTCGGAGTTCTCACAAAAATATCGTGGACCATCACAATATATCGAATTACAAGTCTCTTTGGTTAATTAAAAGAGTTATAGTGCAGCAACAGTTAAAGAAAAGACAGGGAACTACATAGACCATGATCCTTTGCTTCATTTCAGTGTAGATTACATGAAGAAATAACATTTCTAAGCACTTTTAACTTTTTGTTCTCTTTGTTGGATTAAGTCTTGCCAAAGCATTTTAAGAGGAAAAAGTAGCATATTAACAGTTTTGTCTCCACAAAATATCGCAATAAATATCGTACCGTGAGAAGTATATCCTGAAAATATCGTACCGAGGGATTTGGATATTGTTACGTCCCTGACCGTGAGCCTCCCCACCGTATCATGAGCTTTCCTACAATATTGCAATAAATATCGAACCGTGAGGTTCATACCATGACAATATCGTATCGTGAGACTTGGATATTGTTACACCCCTACAAAAAAATATATTTTTCAAAACTAAATACTTATTTTTAGTACACCAGTTCGGATATATAAATCAAGACAAGTCCTTAGTTGGTCTTTTTCCAGTCTTCATATTAGTGTCTTGTTTCATTACTAGTTTCAATTGGTATTTCTTTTCTTTTTTTTTTCTTTTTTTTTTTTTTTACTTTGACTTTGACTGTCCCATTTCCAACTCAGCAGCAAACCCCCAGCCTCTCATCTCCTCCTCTTCACCAACACATCATAACTGCATGAGGTCAGACTACAGACAGGTGCAGTTTCTTTCTCATGTTGCTCACAAAGTTCTGAGTTCAAACCCCTCTCTTCTCTCTACACTTGTGAAACAGCCCTGACAGACTTGGCTAAGATTCAATCGGCTGCAAACCCACATTCGGGAGAGTCTTGTCTTTAATTTATAGTTGGAGGAAATCGGCGTTCACTCCACCGCGCAGCCAGAGAAAGTGTTTTGTCTGATAAGGATCAAAGAGAATAGTGGTGAGTGTTTACGATGGTGCCTCTGTCTGGTATGGGTCTGTTATTAGCGCTGAGGCCTTGAGTTCTTGTGCATTCAGCCTTGAGGAGTGCGCTAAGCTAAAGTGACAGACCGAATACCAAGATGTCTCCCAAACTTTAGTGAAATCTTATCAGCAAACACCAAACATAGCGAAGAGCAGAAACAAAGACAGAAATCAGAATGGTGAAAGGGATTAAATATTGCTTATAAAATATGCCACTAACTTGAACGTACATTTGGCATAAAAACAGACCACACTATGTTATTTTCTCATCTGTGTTCACAAATATACCTGGAGTTGTGTTTTGTTTCATGAACACACAAACCCTGCATATTTCAGTTCCACCTTATGATGTCATGTGGTAATACAGGAAGTGCTCGACTGTGTTTTTAAATTCCATACACCTTCACTAGAATTATTTGGATCATTTTTGCAATTGGAATTGGAATTGCAAATCTCTACTGAATTAAAGATAAAAAGTAACTTGGAAAATACAGTTTCCTGAAATCACAAGGTAGAACAGA